TCCCCCCCAAGCACCTGACCTACCCTTCCTCTCCAACAAACATGGAACTGGAAAGGCTGGAAAGGAAAAGTCTCTTCCAAGTGGCCATGCTATCCACTCCATGTTTCTTGGATAAAGGGCCAGTGTTGGGAGGATTGGAAGTGGATTTCAAGCCTATGGCCAGGATCCCTTCGACCACTGGGTCGCCTCCATTTCCAGCTAGGCGCGCTGCATGCTCCCAGCCCAAAGAGTACGGAGGCAATGAAGAAATGGAAGCTGGGGATCCTCAGACGTTCCATCGCCATCGACGTCGCACTTGTTCGCCCTCGACGTCGGAAGTATACAGAATACGTGAATCGTTCCGGGGAACGAGGAACCCAAGATTGGGCATGCATTTGATCAATCCAATCAATACCTCTTCCCAGACCTATAATTTGGACGGCTCAAGCCTTTTGGTTTGGGAGAAGAGCTCAGCTCCGCACATGTCAGCATGCAGCGTACGATCAAACGTTTCTGGGTACGAACCGATTCTTCTCCACCGGACTCCATCGCAATCTTGATGGGTCCACTTAATGTAGACTCTTGATTAATAACCACCCTAATTTGAAGTGAACAATCCTCTTCATATGGGGGGGTTATTAATCAAGAGTCTACACTAATTGTCCTCAGCAGGTAGGGTTCAATTTCAGTCCCAAGAAGCGTACTTGAGGGAAGCAGGCAGGGAAGCAGAGAGGTGAGGATGGGAGTCCGTTGCGTAGGTGCGTAGGTGCGGCTATACCTGGCCCTTCAAAGAAAGAACAGACACTCTCGACCACCCAACCATAGCGGACTCCCAGCGGGGTGATCACAAGTAGCCGGCCGAGGGCGACCTTCCAGCTGACCTCAGCGATCAAGAAGGGTGCCACGCTGCGTGGCATGGTACAGCTCAGCCAACTTGGCAAGGTCCGACATGAGGTGGGGCGAAAGACCAACAGCTGGGGTGCAAAAGAACTTGGAGAGGAATACAGGAGTAGATGGCGTCGCCTCCACATCGAAAGGGTTTTGCTCGCTTGTCCAACTTAATGACAAGTTCGGCTTCTTGTTGCATTTGCTGTTGCCACTCTTCGACTGAGTGGGTAGTCCTAAAGTCACTTGAGAAGACCTCCTTTGACATCTCGTTTTTCCAAACTCCACTGGTCTGGTTGAACTCTTGGCAACTCGTTTTTGGGAACTTGCCTCAAGGCTTTGCAGGCGGTGGTGCCGGCAGCGGCTGCAGCCCCTGCCACAAGCCGCTTGAGCGTGGGTGAGGCTCCCGCTGCAGGTTGGGTCGGTATACGGGGGAGGAAAGTCTTGCTCAAATGGAGATGACTTGCCAGCGGGTATTACTTAGTTGTTCATGGATACGTTTAAGTGCAAGAATCAAGGACAAGTCCATCTCAGGAGGCTGGACAGTCTTCATGGCCTTCTCATTGGAAGACATACCCTGTCGGTGACAGACATGCGCTGTTCCAAAGAAAGAGCCAGTCCCTCCTTTCCGCGGCAGGCAGCAAGATCTCTGCACGAAAATGACCATGCATCAAGGAGTGCTCAACTTAGGGCGTGTACCTCTTCTCCAAACGGGTCTCGCTGGCGAGTCTGGTCGGTCGCCGCCAGGTGCGAACCTGCGGAGCCCTCCGAAGACGGCGCCAGGCGCGGGGCGAGCGGAGGGCAGAACGTTCTGCCCTCTGGGTGTGGGTGCTTTTTTTGAGTGAAGCCGCATGAGTGTTTCTTGCGGACTTCTCCACAACCTCTCCACGTGCTGGCCTTCTGAGTGCAGGCCCAGCGCTTCAGAAATCGGGACCAGGCAGGAGATTCCAAGTGTTTGCGCGGGTTTTTGTTGGAAAGTGTCTTCCGGGTAGAAAAAAGCCAATGTTCATTTCACTCGTTCTAATTCTACCAAGCCCGTTTCCTTTCAAGACAGTTTTAGGAGCTACAGACCTTTGACTCCTTCGAGACATCCAGTGTTCGCCAAACGGCAGACCTCGACCTTGGCTCCCACAGGGGCTGAGCTGCCACCGCCCATTTTTGGCCTCACTGGAAAGCCGGGCGCTGGCAGCGCCCAGCGCCAGTCGGCGCTGCAGGATTTGACCGGTGCGGTGGCCCAAAAATACCGAAAGTCATTCCATGACTACTACTAGCGATGCCCTTGCTACTAGTAGCTTCTGGCTACTAGTAGTAATGCCCTTGTTACTAGTGGCTTCTAGCTACAGTAGTGCCCTTGTTACTAGCAGCGATACCCTTGTTACTAGTAGCTTCTCCATTTGATCTCAGGAAGACTCGGAGACACTCTGAAGTGAAACGTCTGCAGGGGTTACAAAGTGAAACATCTCCATAAACTCCAACTTACTCATGGACTCATGGCGACTTTAACTTATGACGCTGTTCCATTTTCGGTATGGCATCCCAACCTTGTGGTCTGGCCTTCTCGCGACGGAGTTCTCTGAGGTGCGAGGCAAGCACAGGACGGTGCGGAGAACGATGGCAACTTTGCCGCCACGTTGGGGTGGCTCAGAAGCTGCAGGGACCAGGGCAGGCTGTGTGAGCTATGTGGGAGATTTGAGAGGCTTCTTGAACTTGTTGGGCTAACGCCCTGAAAGGTACTCGATTTCCCTGCGTTTCAGCGCGTGTTCGGCGTTTTGTTTTCCTGGTCGTTGTTCTTCAAGACCGAGACTCTGATAGGCCAAAAAGGAGGGCATGGGAATCTTCAAGTTATTGAAGGGAAGTCGACGCAAGAAAACTGCCCTGAGATCGGAAATGGAAGCAGACCTGGTGACGGACCCTATGGTTTCCAACCAAGGTTCCCTTCGCTCTTAGCACGAAAGATGGCGAACATCTTGCACAAGATCAAGGGCCAGGCCCTGCCACCGTGCTTGTGGTGCGCTCGATTTCAACAGAACACTTGTTTGCTTCAATGAGTTCTAGACACAGTCACTTGTTCTGGAACTTCTGGGCATAGAATGCGGAAGCTCTAGCAGGCTGTAGCACCAGCATCCGAGACTCTCTTTCCACTTCAGTCAGCACATTCGACCCAAGCAGCTTGCTCCATCTTTCTCTCAACCAGCGAAAGATAGAAAGCTAGAACCCCCAGCAAACCGTTTCTATCCGTCTCTCAACCAGCGAATCCACCAGGAGGGCAGCGCCCCCTTCGCCGCCCTGGGGCGCGAGCGCCCGCGGCGCCAGAGCGGCGACGCACGGCGCTCGGACCGGGGTGAGTCGTTCGCCGTGGAGGCCGGGGCAAGTCGTGGAGACCCGGCGTATGCGTTCGCGCGTGAGGAGGAGGCAGACCAGGACCTGGTCTTTGGGGTCGAGCACTCACTTTTCTGAATGCCAATTGATTTTTGATTTTGTGCATAGAGCACTGGGTTGGAGCGGGCGACGGAGCTGAGATGTCGATTCCTCCCACACGAGCGGGTTGGGCACTGCTCCACTGCCTTTTCGTGGGCACTCTCCTCCCTTCCTGTTTTTCATGGGCTCTTTCTCGGTTGGGCAATCTCGCGAGGACAAATTGCCACCCTTCCAGTGGAAAGCCAATTTCGGTCCCAAGAGCGGACCTAAAGAGGCCCAGGTGCGGATGCCGTCGACGCGGCGAGGACCGGCGTCGACTCGGCGTCGCCACCGTTGCTTTCTTTTTTCGGGAAGAAGAAATGGACGGTCCACCAACTGTTCCCCAGACTGGGCCAACGACAGTTGACAGTTGAAGGCAATTCTGTTTCTTTTTCTTGAAGTGCTGGGGGGCACAGATGACATGACCACAGCAATTAGGCAGGGTTGAAGGGCCAATAGGGTTCTTTTGCTAATCATTTTCCATTATCCTTAGACCCAGTCAGGAGCCTCAAACCTAAGAAGGACCCAAGTCTAGTTATATATGACTCAAAACCATGGTCCTCATCCAAAACCACCGGTCAATCTGGTCCATGGAAAAGAAGACAAGTCAACAGTCAACCTGTTAGTCGCAAGGGGATAAAGTCGACTTCCGCAACTGCGCAGGATTCCGCAACTAGGATTCCGCAACTGTTTGGTCGGATTCCGCAACTGGGATTCCGCAACTAGGATTCCGAAACTAGGATTCCGCAACTGGGATTCCGCAACTGGGATTCCGCAACTACGATTCCGCAACTAGGATTCCGAAACTAGGATTCCGCAACTGTCAGGATTCCGCAACTAGGCTTCCGCAACTAGGTTTCAGCAACTGGGATTCCGCAACTGGCGTTCCGCAACTAGGATTCCGCAACATTGTGGATTCCCTCACTAGGATTCCGCAACTTTGTGAATGCTGAGGGGGTTGGCGTGATGTCAAGATCACACGATGGGGACAAGGGGGGATGGGGGGGTGGGGGGGGTTGGGTGGGGGTCTAATGACGTTGGTTTGGATGTGCTTCAAAGGTGATGTCACAGGCACACACGCTATTGCATGATGTGGAGATCTCCAGTTGCAAGTTTCAGAAGGCAAGTTGCAGAATCTGACTTCCAGCTTCAGAATACCAGTTGCAGAATCTGACTTTCCAGTTTCAGAATACAAGTTTCAGAATCCCAGTTTCAGAATCCTAGTTTCAGAACCCCAGTTTCAGAATCCTAGTTTCAGAACCCCAGTTTCAGAATACTAGTTTCAGAAGCCAAGTTTCAGAACCCTAGTTTCAGAACCCCAGTTTCAGAACCCTAGTTTCAGAATCCGACCGATTAGTTTCCGAATCCGGCTCTAACCAGTCGCAGGGTCGTATTTTGCACCCTGGACTTGGCCTCGGACTTGCCCCTCAGTTAAAGGTTTGTAAGGGATTGGCATGATAGCGGCATGATGTTGAGGCGCTGGGGGTTGATTTGGACAGGGGCAACAAGCAGAAGTTGGATGATTTTTCTTTGCCCTGCTAGCTGCCACTTTGGTGTGGCGCGTTTGAGGTACCTGGCAGACCCTTTCCTTATCCGAAAGGTACCTGGGCATTCAATGGACATCAATGGACCACCACATCCATTTGTTTTTTGGAGCCACATTTTTGTGCACCTTGGAGGTCTTTGCCTTGGACCTCGGCGACTTGGATGTCTTGCGCGATGCCACTTGGACGACTAACGGAGAACAGGGAGGCTTAGAGATCTGTTATTTTGGTTGGGTGAAGATGGTGGAGAGAAAGAGGATCTCTCAGTTTGTGGCGGCTTCCTGTCTTCTGACCTGTGTGGCAGCGTTTGGCATCATGTGCATTTGTACCATCCTCCCGAATGCGATGTTGTTCCCAAGCACCAATGTTGAATGGCGCCACAAGAACCACATTGGATTTGAGGATGAGCCTCGGCGATCTGCGCGGACGCAGGAGAGGGACTCCCAGCTTGTCCCTGTAAAGCGTCTAGTGATGTCTAGTGTATGTAAAGCAATGTAAGGCCATGTTATATTATCATTTATCATGTGTGGCAGGCTTTTCTGCCCGGATTTGGGTAGGTCAATTGTTGGGCAGGATCGGCAGGATCTGCTGACCCCGCTTTTAGAAAAACGTCGCTCAAGTTGGCCCCGCTGCAGGACCGGGTGGCACGCAACCGCAGGTGGGCTTCCGAAAGTGTCTACACTCAATCACACCCACCTTGCAAACTAGCAACATCTCCATTGCTTGCTCATGGCATCTGTCATACTAGCCCACAGATGCCATGATTTTTGAAGATGGAGATTCTGTTTCCTCGGCGCTCCACAGCGCCGTCGTCCAAACGGGGTCGACGCAGCGCCTATCGTCTTCCGAATGTTGAGATCATGACCTACAGCAGTTTGTCTACAGCATTAACCAGCCACACTCGATCCGCTGAACCAGCCGAACAAGGACGCAATTGGTCGAAGATAAGTGCAGATCTACCAATCAAGGCAAATCCCACGATTTTTTCCCAAGTTTGTCCCAGCATGACCCAGCCATCCACATCGAATCTCCTTCTTGCCTGTTCCCTTCTCACCACACCGCATGAGGCCCTCGGACATTGCACGGATTGGAGGCCGAACAAAACTCCCACGGCGCGCGTCAACTCGGATGCGTCCCAGCGGCACCGGTCGCGAGACAGGGTCTGAACTGCTTCGGGAGAGCAGTCTGAGACCTGAGACCATCTCACTGACCGTGCCAGGCACTGAGGACAGTGCAGTAGCTTCCGCAAGGACCGAGAGAGAGAGCAAGTGGGGCCAAGGTGAGTTGGTCGGCATGAGACGGCGCCGTCAGACCCTGGCACGAAAGACCAACAAAACTCGCAGATTCTAGTGATTCTAGTGAGCAGAGTTGCCACTGTCTATCCCATTTGGGCCAGATGGTGGGCCAAAGGCGGGCGAAGCGAACTCGACAGGTTCCTGCGAATTGTCAGTATATATTATCTGAAAGCAATGACCACGTGAACCTGTTACCCTGATTAAGCACTTTTCATATCTTTTCATGGTGAATCTGGCTTTTCCTCACAACAAGCACTTTCAGGGACCATCTGCAAGCATTCGGGTACCAATTTTTTGTCACTCGGACATCCTGGCACTCCATTGGTGAACCCGCCCCGCAGGAGGGCCTCCGTCCGCCGCGGCTCCACCGTGGGCTCCGGGACCGGCTCGGTGCCGCTCCCCTCGTTGAAGCCCAGCCTTTGGCAGCCGCCTGGGCGAGTGAACGGTGCGAGTGAACGGTGCCGAGAACGGGGTGCGGAGAATGGGGAACACTCCAACTGAGGCCCTTGTTGGATACTTTTTGAAAAAGAGTTCGGTTCACAAAGAGCCTTGAAGAGGTATCCGTTTGGTGGCTATGTTCTTTTCTTTTTCAGGTGTTGTATTTGATTCTTATCGAGGAAAAGCTCTCCTTTTGAATGAGCATTTTTGGTGCAAGGATATGGTTTTTGCTGGCTTGGACAGAACTTGGGTGCCGTGCTCTTTTTTCCCTTTTCCACTTGCTTTTCCCCCATCCTCACACGGCCCGGTTCGCAGGGTTCACCCGGCCAAGGATGTCGGAGGAGGTGGCTCCAGCACCCCCCGGCGGCGCCATGGCCGCCGTGGGTCCGCGCTCCGTTTTCAAGGATGCGGCGGTCGGGTTTATGGGCGGTGCGGTCGTTCGGGGAGCCGGTCCGGTCGTGCCAAGGTCGTGCCAAAGGGTCTTGAAAAGAGGTCTCATCGAAATCGATGGTGATAGAACCCAATGAAGTCTGTTTTTGTCTCTTCATATTTTTTTCCTCCTACTTTTTGGAGTAGGTGCGAAAGAAACGCCGAACAAATGGAGGGTGTCTCTCAGCTGTTGAAGTCAGGACAAAGACTCTTCAACAAACATGTTGGATTTGCTGTATCCGACAAAGCTTTTGCGTTTGTCGGGAGCATACCTAAAGAAAGGCAGTGAATGGCAGTGATTCTTCCAAAGTTCTCCTAGCAGTCCTAGCATCGCACGGGGAGTTCCAGAGAAAGAACGCTTTGCATGATGGTTTCGGATTCCTTGAAAGCCTTGTAGGATAGATTCTTGAGCTCGTTCTTTGTGGAGTTTTCTAGTGCTCCGAAGCAACCAGTCCGTGGAGAGGATCCTTGTTGCAGAAGCTGTTCGAAGAGGGTCTTGGGCTTTGCACACCATCCCCACACCACCGTTGTGGACAGGATAACAACTCAAAGTGGAAGCTCCTGAACAAGCGCATCAAGGAAACGCCACCTGATTCAGGTGCGGATGAATTGTCCATGTGTGCTTTTCTGTGTCAACGACGATTTGGTCGTTGGTGGTGTGGACACGGGCCCCAAGGGCATCTCAGCGATCCACAAAAAAAGCCTGAACAAATGAACAAAGATGTCCACTTGTAATTGTGGGGGAATAGGGGTGTGGCTGGGTGTTTTTGGGGGCCACATAGCCCAGGAGCTATAGAAACAACGAATACAAATGAATTCAACTGATGGTTGGAATTCTCTCATTTTCAGAAAGAATCATTTTGTGCTTCGTACATTCCCCAAAACAAACGTACATCTAATTTGATGTTCCTGTGTCACCAGGCAAGGTGTCATGACTACCTCCCATGATGGAGAAACCCGGGGCTGCCAAACCTTCCAATTTTCCTTGGGTGCAGTGTCTACAGGGATGCCTGGTGTGCTGCTAGGCGAGACGACTACCATCGGGGTCCAGCTTTGGTTGCACAGACGACCTCTCGTCCCATACCCTATCCATCGCCAGATCCCAGGTCAATCCTCTTTGGGAGTGCTGCCGAAGGATGCAGAGGCCACCCTCAGTTTCAGTGGCATTGACTCCCAAATAGTGAACTTAGCGAAGCACTGGATCATTTTTACCCTAAAAAATTGGGAGCCTGCCACCGATCCCTCCCGCCCCATCCAGGTCTCGCCGGCCCCACCGCCCGAGCGGCCCGTGCCGCCCGAGCAGCCGGCGTCCGTCGCGAAGCTGGCGTCGGCGCTGGTGGCGCACTTCGGCTCCCTGCCGCTCGGTTTGGGTCCGATGGACGGACAGAACCAATAAGCTACTAGTAACAAGTGCATCGCTAGTAGTAACAAGTGCCTTACTAGTAGTAACAAGAAGCTAGTAGAAACAAGAATTGACTATACGGACACCGAGCTGTCTCGGTGTACGGAAGAACAATGAGTCAGGCGCGCGCTTCCGAGGTTAGGCGGAGCGAAGCGCGGGGGATGCGCAGGGTCTTCTCAGGTCTAAGGGTGCGAACTCGAACTCTCGTGCTTAGATGGTGATCGTGTGCTTTCCGGACATGTTATTGGATATCCAGACTTCTCCAGCCAAGGAACCGCGCCTACGAGCACTTTGATTTCGACCGGAAAGGCCGACCGGTGGTGGGTTCGTTGGGCGACGAGCACTGAGCCTTTGAAGCCATGGACACTTTGCTGATGGCAATTGTTTTTAGGCATGCAAGTGAGCTCAGAGCAGGTAGAAGAAGTGATGTCTTCCTTGATGAAGGCCGCAGACAATCCTCCATCGATAAGGGCCGAGAAAGGACTCTGCTGTTCCTTTGTTCCTTTTGCCTTGGCTAGCTGGTGCTCAGGAGGGAGCTAAGGGGCCGAGGGTATCCATATTCTCCAGTAAACAGGGGGCCAAGGAGCTACAGGAAGTTCCCCAACCCCTTGCTTGTTGAGGGCGTTTAAGATCAGCCACTGAATGTTTGGCGTCAGCGCGCAGGGAAGTTCACCAGAGCACAGTTCTATGCGGGCTGCGCAAGTGTCAGGCAGGTGGTTGACTGATGTTGACTGGGGATTTCGGCAGATGGCTGAGGATCAGGATGGACTCCACGTCATTGAGAAGGCCCACGGCCCATTCTATTCATGGTATTGGAGGCTTTTGCTGGAAATGGTGAAGTGGTCACAAGCCCTTTTCCTGGTTCCATGAAAGAACATGGAACCTCATAACCCACTCAGTTGCACAGCCAATGAATTATTGTAACCCCTGTGTTGGATGGCTCATCCCCATATGGCATTGTTGCTTCGGTTTCACACGAGATACTGTACATCATTTGCATAGAACTTCGGTTGCAATGTCCATACTGTCACAATGTCTACAATATACTTACTGTACGCGGTACTCGTTCATTCACAGTCCCTGTCGTTTGATCGAGGATATTTTGTGTGGTCTCGACCTTCCGCGCCAATCGAGTTCGAACAGGTGCCCCCAAACAACCGACGGAACGTCCGGTGACATCCAGGCTGAACTTCCGGACCTTGTCCGGACTCACCGTCCGGGAGATTTTCAAGCGCCTGGACCGGGGGGTAGGTAGGTGGGTATCAGGTGGCGCGTAGCTCGAGCCCGAGAGCTACTATATCCAGCAAAAGCCATTGCTATAAGTATGGGAGCATTTTTCTTGTGGAACTTCCGTTTTCTCACCCTGATTTTCCTGCACCTATGGTTTTTTCCCACAGTTGAGACCGTCGGATGACGGTACGAGTTTGGCCCAGAGACTCGCCGTGGCCCCAAAGGCGCCAAACATGAATCTCAATGCTGGTTTGTAGAATTGCCTTTTGGTTCGGATCTGACATGATTTGAATTCTATATAAAAGATATATATATATATACATATATTATAGTAATAGTAATATAATAATAGTAACAACAATTATTGTTATTATGTGTATACAGTATTGCTATTTGGATATTGTAGGAGTTTGGTCCTTCATTTCTTAGAGCTCTCTGCGACCATGGACATCAGAAGACATTCACTCCCAGCACCAGTACAGTCATGTCATGGTTTGAGTTTTTGGCACTTCCCCTTGGACTTCGCTAGTCTTCGACCAGACTGTCGGGGCGAGGATGACGCGGACGTGGAGCTGGCGGGGCATGTGACCCTGGCGCCAGGGGGCCCGGAGGATGCAGCACATCCGGTTGCCAAGAGGCCAAGAGATCCGGACGTG